GTCATTTACTTCTTTTGCTGGGGAGAGCTGTGTTGTTGGAGTGCATGAGACTTTATAAATTTTGGGAGCTCAGTTCTTTCACGGATTCTATCTGTTAGGCATTTTTTTTATCAAGAAGACCAAAGATAATTTGATGGTAAGGATGTGGGGAGAAGGGCGCACTTGTGCACTGTGGGTTGGAATGTACCCGAAATAGAGCTTCTCTCTGATCCAGCAATCTCACGTCTGGATATACATTCTAAAGAAATGAAAGCACTATCACAAGACTATATCTGCATCCATTCATGTTCATTGCAGAATTATTCCCAGTAGCCAAGACAAGGAACTCCCTAAGGTTCCACCGATGGATGAATAAAGAGAATATCATAGCTCTGGGTGGTGCGGCTCAGTGGATCGAGTGCCACATGTTCTTGGAAACCTGTATTCTGTTGTTAGTTGGAGAGTATTTTAGAACTACCGGCCACACCAAGAGAGTGCACCGTGTTATTCAGATGCTTTATGTTTTCACTGATCTTTTTGTCGTCTGGTTCTGCAAAGAGTTTTTCATTGAAGCACTGAGTGCCAGCTGTGAAGCTGTGTTACAAACTCGAATCTTCCCGTTCAGTTGTCGAAGGCGTCATGCGGCCGAGGATCAGAGTACCGTGGTTTTATAGCTAAGAAACACGCCGCTCGCACGTGTTGAATTGAGCAACAGCAGTCTCGTCATGAGAGGAGCTACCAGCGGTCAGGACTCTCGGGGTGCGTGAGAGCCAGTCAAGACAGGGCCGCTGGTGTCAGATGTGGAGAAAACGCTGGCCCAAGATTGAGATAAGTGGAAGGGGGTTAGACCTCTGGAAGGCATGTGAGTTGATGGGAAAGCAATAATGAACTCTGGATTCACCTGACTTCTAATAGGGTCTACAGGGAACACAGAGTCAGTGGGAAAATTTTCCCTTCTGTCCAGATCAGTGTCCTAAGGGACGTGATGTGCTTAGATGTGGGAGTAGCAATGGAAAGAGCATCTAATGAGCAGATATAGGCAGCTGGAAATATCTCCTCTGCTGCATGTGCAACCTGGAGCTGGACAGAACAGGGTTGTTGCTTTTGGAGACCCAAGTCTGAGTGGCGACCAGTGCTTCCGTCCTTCCCGCTCTCTTGTCTGGGGACAGAGCTTCAGCCTCCATCCTCGGCCGTCCGCGGGGCAATTCAGACTGGCACACAGAGACCTTCTCCTCGGAGCCTCATCCAGATGAGTGTGAGAGGCCCGAAGGTACTGGGGGAAAGGGTCAGAGAGAAGGGAAGCCAAGAATTACCACTTGAGGTCACCTGAGAGCCTAACCAGCCGGGCCCAGAGCCCAGCGATTGCCATGTTTGTTTACTAAGCAATTTACCGTTAATATAGTTACTACTTTAACAGGAGAAATGTTCATGGACTCATCAATACAAGGACCGTCGTTTCAGTGAGGGGATGGGAATGGAAGTGCAGCCGGATTAGCCTGAGGCCGGAATGGGAGGCGGAACGCGGTCCCAGCAGAACGAGCAGAGACACAAGGAGCCGTGCAGCTCAGCGGGGAGGAAAGCGGTGTGAGCTGGGAAGGCGGTGGAGGGGGCATTTGAAAAGTTTCCCGGGCGGGGTGGGTTTCAGCATGCTCTGCACTCGTGAGAAGGGTCCAGACCGGTGGAGGGAGGCAGTACTTTGCAGCAGAGGCAGCAGAGTTTCTCCAGACACACATTTCACCGCATCCCTCCTGTTGCCATTCACCTGTAAATAATTGCATTTGTGCACAAAGCACTGTGCTAGTGAGCATGACTTTCCAATTATTATATTTCCTGGGGAGCTGAACATATTTTTGACTTTGCAGTCCTTCACTTTGCATACTGCAAATTGTCTTTGCAAGTACTTTGTTTTTATGTACTGAGGTCTGGATGATGCTATTTTTATTTTCATTCTTTCAAATAATAATTGCATCTTTCTCCTAGTTTGTTCCTTTCTATTTAATTCTTGTGTGTATGTAGTGATGTATGTATGGCATTGTGTGAGACTTATAAATTTTGTGTGGTTGAATCTGTCAGTTGTTCAGATTTGGTTTGTTATTGCTATTGCCTTTCACACTGAGAGGTATTCTGCATTCTCATTTTTTGAGTCATTTTACCATCTGACTTCACACCTGCTTTTTGTTATTTCTACCACTTCTGTTTTGTGATTAGATCTACTTTTTAAAATAGGAAAGATTTTCTGTGAATATCTGGAATACATTGCTGTATGGAGCCAAATAGCACCTATACCTTTTTCATAAGCACGATGAGCCTGTTTAGATGCATATGGATGAAATGGTAACTTTAGATACTGCTTCCTCATTGTGTTTTAAAGAATATGTTTTCTAGTCTTTGTTTCCTTCTGCTCATTTCATCCTGAATTAGAGGTGTTGATGGGATTACTTTATTGTTATTTTCCTTCACATGTCAGTAGTGTATTTTTATTCAATTTTATTGAAGTTATTTGAATTCACTACCTACGACATAGGTTTCTTTTCCCTACCAACTTTTTATTGAATGAATTCTCATCTTCTTAAAATTTGTTTCTACATGAACGCACACCTTCGTGAGACACAGACGTGGACTATGTAGCTGAGGCCCCTGGTCATGTGGTCTTACATTAAGTGGGGAAAGCAGAATGTGGTGAGATAAATGTGTGTGTGACCCAGTGTCTTCGGTGACAAGCAGAGAAGAAAGGGAACAGACTGTCTGGCTTGTGTAGGACTTGATAAAGTAGGGTTTGGGGAGGACTTTGCAGGCTGGTTGGGGACCAGATCCAGGACGAGAGTGTGAGGGTTGGTGTGTCACAAAAGAGATGGAATCCCGAAGTCCAAGGGCAAGCCAGGGAGGTGGGGGAAGGGCCGGCCTCCTCTCCGGTGGGCCATCAAAGAACACGGTGGGCAACTGACCATGACAGAGGCGCAGGCATGACACTTAGATCAGGAGCTGAGGCGGCTGCTCCGTTGGGGCCGGTGGAGCAGGCGCGGCCCGGGGTCTGCGTGGCCCCTGGACTCCGAGGTGCCTCCAGCGCCGCGCTGGCTGCCTCTTCTCTCTGCCCCCGGCTCTCTGCCTGGCTCTGCAGTCTTCCTGTTTTAGCCTCATTAGCAGGAACCGGTGTCCTTTTAAAACTCTTTTTTCCTTTACTGCATTATTTCCACCTTTAAGAACATGTAGCGTGTTTTCAAAGGTAAACACACCGTTTGTATTGTGGCCTGGCATGTTGTACATGCAAACACAAATACTCATGCATGTCCATGTGCACAACGGAGCCAACGGAACCATCACCGGTCATGCCCACAGACACGCCGGCAGGAAGCAACTGTGCTAAGCTTGGGTATTTATTGACCAAATATGCCTGCCACGCTGAGGGGATGGAGAGCGTTGCCCTGTCTGTGTGGGTGAGAACATTAACGTTGAGAGTGGATTGGTTTTCTCTCCAAATTCAAACAGCTAATATGTGGCAGATTCAATATTTAATTTCCACTACTAACCTTCAAATTTTGCATTTAGTATCAATCCTCACCCAAAGATAGGTTTATTGATGAGAGAGTGAGAGAGAGAGAAACTTTGACGGGAGAGAGAAACATCGATCCGTGGTATGCTGTGCATGCCCCGCACCCCCCTCACCCTTTTGGTGGACAGGGGAACGTGTCAGTCCGCGGACACACCCGCCAGGGCGCTTTGCTCATTATTCCAGTGGGTGTTTATTCATAGAGGTGTCTTGACACGGCTCATATGTCGCTCTTCTTTTCCGGGTGAATTGTATCTGTTGCTGTATTAGTTACTCTGGGCGTCATGGGGACAGGACTGGGATGAAATGTCGACAGACCCCAGGAAGTTTTCTTTTTATCACAGCCTCTCGGAGACCATCTGAGCTCTTAGATCTTCCACCCCTCTTGCCCGGTCCTCAAAGTATCTCTGTTTTTGTTTTGTATTCCTACCTGTGTTTTGTTCAACTCAGTGTTTTGCACTTCAGAAATATAGGACTAGAATTCAGTCATATAATCTGGCAGATGGTAGTTTAGCACTCTCCGTCCCTTATGAAAAAGCAGAAAAGCCATATAGACTTCCACTGGATTTCAATGATCCGGTAACCAAATATTAAAAACAAACATCTAAGTAACACAATAAAAAATAAAGAAAATGAAGAAATACAGGAAGGAATCTGTACATACTAATATGGAGTGGCAAGCTTACCATCCATGCGAGGTTACCCACTGGAACTTGGGTACCATTTCTGTATTCTTTAGGGAAAAGATATAATCTGACGTTGGCAGCTTTTGTTGTATCATTGATTTCTTAATGATTATGACAGGGTACCGAAAGGGTGGGAATAACATAGCCTCAGGAGGTCACTGAGTGTGTGTGCTGTGTGTGTTAGTTGCACGGGGAATGAGTAGTTCTCAAAGCAGCGGTACAGGAGAAAAAATACCCTAAGATGTGACCCTTCATTCGAAATGCAAGAATGTTAACCAACGTATGAAAACAAGATGGGGAATCATTTCTGTTCACAGTATTACATGGAAACAAAATCAACAAAGCAGAAAGAAGAACTGGTGGACAACAGACAGCCTGTGACCGGACGTTTTAGCAGCGGCAGAAATGCCACGTCGTTCCCCGTCATCCTCTGATATCATCTCTCATTGCTCGTCCCTCGTTCCTTCCCCTCGCCCTGGCCCCATTTTGAGCCTTGAATGTCTTAAACAAAGTGCCACAGCTGGCCTTTGCCCTGGCTCTTTCCCTGCAGGGTGTATGCTTCGCAAATACACTGGTGTCTCCTGCTTTCTCTCCCTTGAGGTCCCTGTTCCAGTGAAATCTCATTCTTAGGTCTCCCTGAGCTCCCTGTAAATGTACCCCAGAGCCACTCTCTTTTGTGCATGCTTCTTGTTTCTCCGTGGCATTGTAATTGTAGCATGTCCAGCACGTCCGTTGTGCCCACTTATGTGAAAATTAATTTTTTTATTCCTAGTGGTGACAGGTACCACATGGTACGAGGGAATGAGACCCCACCTTCAGAATTCCTTCTGCTGGGACTATCAGAGGCACCGGAGCTGCAGCCCCTCCTGTTTGGGCTGTTCCTCTCCATGTACCTGGTCACTGTGCTGGGAAACCTGCTCATCATCCTGGCCGTCAGCTCAGACGCCCGCCTCCACACGCCCATGTACTTCTTCCTCGGCAACCTGTCCTTGGCTGACATCTGCTTCACCTCCACCACCGTCCCGAAGATGCTGGTGAACATCCAGACACACAGCAAAGCCATCACCTATGCAGGCTGCATCGCCCAGATGGGTTTTTTCTTATTCTTTGCAGGGTTGGACAATTTCCTCCTGGCTGTGATGGCTTATGACCGGTTTGTGGCCATCTGTCACCCCCTACACTACACGGTCATCATGAACCCTCGGCTGTGTGGGCTGCTGGTTCAGGTGTCCTGGACAGTGAGTGCCCTGAATTCCTTGTTACAATGCTTAATGGTGTTGCGACTGTCCTTCTGTCCCGACACAGAAATCCCCCACTTCTTTTGCGATATGAAACAGGTGGTCCAAATTATCTGTTCTGACACCTTTCTTACTGACATGATGATATATTTTTCAGCTGGGGTCCTGGGTGGTGGTGCCCTGGCTGGGATCCTTTACTCTTACTCTAAGATAGTGTCCTCCATACGTGCAATCCCATCAGCTCAAGGGAAGTATAAAGCCTTCTCCACCTGTGCGTCTCACCTATCGGTTGTCTCCTTATTTTATGGCACGAGCCTAGGCGTGTACCTTAGCTCTGCCGGTACCCACAGCTCACAGTTAAATGCAACAGCCTCGGTGATGTACACCGTGGTCACACCCATGCTGAACCCCTTCATCTACAGCCTCAGGAACAGAGACATCAAGGGGGCTCTCAAAAGACTAGTTGAGGTCGCCGCTCTAAAGGGACCAAGTGTGAGAGGGCGAAGGAAATGCGCATGATTGCAGGGCTCAAAGCCTCAGAGCCAGATTCTCTGAGTCTTCATTCCGGTTGCGGAAGTAGAAATTATTCTCTTTGTTTATTTCCTAGAGTTTCTGTGTGTAGGGTTGCAACTTCCGTATACAATTTAAGCGGGTCACTTTAAATTTCAACTTTGTGATATTCGCTGCTTTTACGTTGTCAGTTTCCTCCTGTTCCAAACTGATTCCCAGCCTTGGATGAAATATTTGGGAATTCCCATTTATCTCATGAGACTACATGGATTTCGTAAGAAGAATGTCTTTTGAAGTAGAATATTTCATACTGAGTAATTTTTCTTTCTCTTTTCTGAAAGAAAAATCATGAGTTGTACTACTCCTATGGAATTAAGCTGCCCTTGGTAGCCAAAGCCATTTACATCATTCTGTAGGAGAGGAAAATATAACGGCACAGTGGAACCCTTCTTGTACCTCATTTCTTCATATACCACTACTGTAACTGCACTCTCTGAAAACGTAGCCTTTAACATATAGTGTTGTTATAACAGGCCATTGGGTTGTCTTCCTTTGTTAGGACCCTGATTCTTATTTAGCTGGTGTCTACTTTCTTACCATAGTCACAGGCAAAACTGACAATCAAATGGTGTCTCCAATTCTAGTCCACATTGAAAAACAAAGTTTAATACAGAGTTTCACGTAATATGTGCTTCCAGTCAAAGATGACCTTAAGTATGAAGAATTTTGTCATACATTTATTATTGTGTAAAGAATTTTTGATGGCGTATGTTTACTTATTGACGTATGTAAGATCGGTGTCAACGTGTAAAGGCATTTATCCTTGGGATGGAGTGTTCCTTGGTGCAATTATGACTTCTGTTTTCTGCCTCCACTTGAAAAGTTTCATTGCTGCCTCAAGATATGATTCCCTCTATTGTTCTAAATGAAGCATGTCTTGCTACTTTAAATATTGTCATAACCACTGAAGGGGTAGAGAAAATTGATGTCAATCTCATCCATTGTATTATCGATGTGATACATAGATATGTCATTTGTATACATAAATGACCAAAGGCTGGCTCAGTAGAGAGGTTGAGTTCCTGACCAGTTCTGTGACTCAGAGTCCTAAGTGTCGCACAAACATACATGTTCTTTCAACCTCTCCTGCTTCCCTGCAAGGGGTACGCAATGGAGTCACTTTTAATGCAGTTATTTGAAATAAACTGCAGTAACAAAAGTAATCTGACTGCTGTCTTCAAATGTCAGAGCAAAGGCACACAATGACGAGCAACAGATCATGAAAATTACCTTTGGTTTTGTTCACTGTAATTACTGTTCTCAGTGAGCTGTTTGGCCTACCAAGGCACCCTACAGGCAAATGGTTGAATGTGACACATTGATTACCATGGGGTTATACGGTGAGACGTGGTACCGAGTTCTGGTTGTGTCCTCACGGGTCGGCAGTCAGCTGTGTGTTTCCATGTCGTGTCTTGAAGGCTCATGCACGATGCTGTGTGTGGCTGTAGTGCTCCCCTGTCCCGAACCAATTTGTGTCAGTTTATTCCCTTCACATATGAAGGTGAGCCTTTCATTTATGGGAAAATGGATATATAAATAGAAATTGCTCTATTTTATTTAAAAAAAATTTTTTAAATTTTTTGTTCTATTACTGTTCTTCCAATTTCCGCCCATTGCTCTCCCCTGCCCGGCCCACCCCCGGCTCCCACAGTCAATCGCCACCCTGTTGTCACGTCCATGGGTACTTTGTACGTGTTCCTTGCCTAGTCCCTTCCCCTTCTTCCCCCCCTTGGCCCTCTCCCCGTGCCCTCTGGACAGTGTGAGTCTGTTCCTTGTTTCCGTGCCTCTGGTTCTATGTGCTCATTTGTTGTTTTGTGCAACACAAATTAGCTTCCTCTCATAGGTGAGACCATACGGTGTTTGTCTCTGGCCACCTGGCAGATTTCGTTTAGCGTAAATTTCTGCAGTTCTGCTCATGCTGTCGTGAAAGGCAGGAATTCCTTCTTTCTTGCTGCTGCCTGGTATTCCATGGTGGAAATGTCCCAGTTTTTTGATCCACTCATTTACCGTTGGACATTTAGGCTGTTTCCAGTGCTTGGCTATTGTAAATAGTCCTGCTCTGAACATAGAGGCACTTAAGTTCTTTTGAATTGGTGTTTCAGGATTCTTAGGGTATAATGCCCGCAGTGGAGTCGCTGGGTCCAAAGGCAGTTCCATCTTTAGTTTTTTGAGGAAATTACTGTTTTCCACAGTGGTTGCACCGGTCTGCAACCCCACCAACAGTAGATGTGGGTTGCCTTTTCTCTACCTTCTCTCCAGCTGTTATTGTTTATTGATCTGTTAACGGTGGCCGTTCTGGTCAGTGTGAGGCGGTATCTCAAAATGGATAAAATACAAAACAGAAGGTGTGACACCATCAAAGCCCTAGAGGAAAACATAGGCAGTAAAATTTCAGATATCCCAGGAAGCACTATTTTAGCCGATATATCTTCTAGGGCAAGGGAAGTCAAGGAAAGAATAAACAAATGGGACTACATCAAATGAAGAAGCTTCTGCCTGCCTAAAGAAAACATCATTAAAATGAAAAGGGTTCCAACTGTATGGAAATACAAATTTTCCAATGATACCTTGGGCAAGCGTTCGAGCTCCGAAATATATAAAAAACTAATATGACTCCACACCAGAAAGACAAACAGTCCAGGTAAGAAATGGGCAAAGGACCCGAACAGACACTTCTCCGAGGAGGACATACAGACGGCCCAAAGTCATATGAAAGGATGCTCAACATCACCAACCATGAGAGAGATGCTAATTGCTTTATTCTATTTCCGATATTCATATGTAACATTTCTGTCACCTTGTTTAGAAGAGATTCTCCCAGTATTTCAGGGGTGACTCAGATACATATGGTCTAGGTCTCATCCAGAGCCACTCACCACTAGAAAATATTAATTCCTAATTCCTTGCAGCATAAATACACTCTAAATACAATACTATGAATTAAATGAGCCATACAAATATTAAAATTTATATTACACTTTTCATTTGAATATAATTTGAAATGGTATACAAATTTTAACTCCCTTGTTATGTTTTCATTGAACGTGTAATTGCCCTGAACCTGTTTCTTCATTTCCGAAGGTAACATGAGATAATAAATTCTAATTTTAGACAAATACTGTGCAGAATAAATGAAATGTGTTTCAATACTCTGTTGAGTTCAAAGACAGTGTCCCAGGTTAGGAGTGTGTGTGTGTGAGCAATGCATACATTTTTCTCTCAAGTAAGTACATGCATACACATATAAACACATGCACACAGACTCACATTCATGTATATGTGCATGCACAGAGAGTCATTTATCATCCCATCTAGTATGAAGAAAGAATCCTTGAGAGACATTTGGAGAATATAGAAATAAAAAGAAGAAAAGTGTGAATGAACATGAAACAGAAAAAAATTAGAAATTCGACACAAAGATTTAAAGTGAAATATGGGATCTTAATCTTAACGAATAACTTGTTCTATCTTAAAGCTTCAAAGGCTTCGAGGTCAGCACCACATTTACATTCCTGCGATGGGAAATTCTTTGTACCACCTATGGGGCAAAATACCTCTAAATTAGCTCTTCTTTTTCTGTTTAATGTGGGATTTCAACACAAAATACCTTTGCTCAAAGGAAGCTCACTTTTGAGGTTTCAACTGAGTTCCCTGGAACAATACCTTATCGGAGAAGCGTCTATATTAGTGTCCCATTGCTGTTGTTACAAATTACTACGCCAGTGGTTTAAAAGAAACAACTTGCTCCTTAAAGCGCTCGTGTTCAGATGCCTTAAATAGGTCTTAAGGGCTTAGCTCAAAATGTCTGCAGGGCTTGGATTTTCCTGGGTGATCCGGGGGAGAATGCAATGTGTTCCCCATTCGAGTGTCCAGGGGCCACCTGCCTACTTGGCCCATGGCCCACGGCCCATCCTCCGTCTTCAATGCCAGCAGCAGAGCATCTTCAGATGGCTCTCTGACTCCAATTCTTCTGCTCTCCTCCGCATTGAGAGGGCCACTGTGATGACAATAAGCCTCCCTGGGTGATCCCAGCTAGGCTCCTTATCGTATGACAAATGACTAATCCCTTTATTACATCTGCTCTCTCAGTTACCCTGCTGGCGAGCTAACATATTCCAAAGTTCTCCGAAGCAGGACGTTGACATGTTTTGAGGCCCCTGTTCTGCCTAATACGAAGCCTTTTCCAGATACAAGTTATTGTGTCTCTCTGGAGCTCTAATGTGAAAGAATCAAGCGCAGAATTTATCTTCACGTATGGAATGAGTGGGAAAAACGTCTTTCGAAAGCACATACCCTGACGGCTCCTGGTGGAGAACACCTGGAATTACGCTCACCTAACTCTAACACAGAGCCACAGCCTAGCTGCTGAAACACAGAGCCATAGCCTAGCTTCTTCCACAGAAGAAGACCAGCAGCTTCCACGTCACCCGGGAGTTTGTCAGAAATGCCGTCTTTGCACCCCCGGGAGACCCGATAAATCAGAATTTGCAGCTGAGCTCCAAACTTTGGTGATTTGTATGCACAATGAAATGGACAAGGCCCGGCCTAGAAGAGGTGTTTTTACCTTGTCACTGCTGACACCTGGGTCTGGGGACTCATTTGCGTTGGGTGCTGTCCTGCGCATTGTAGGCGTCAGCAGCCTGCGGAATTGCACTATCCCCAGGGCATCGTCATCTGTGTTTGAGACGCAAAGGCCTAGATTCTCAGAACTGGAAACATCCTGAGTGCAATGAAAACTCCATCCCTTCCTTGGCCGATACCTTTAGCACAGCATTAAATCCCTCTGCGCCCCATTTCTGCACTGGAGAAGGTAGTCTACCAACGCACTACCTCACAAAATGCATCTCTGAAACATGAATGTGACTGTTGTTACAAAGTGCTAAGCTGGGCTATGGTGCCGAAAATCTACATGCATCTCTAATATGTAATACACATTTTAGGGTGAAGGA